CCCCCCAAAAAAAAAAAAAAAATTGAAATTTAGACCCTCAATGCTTAATCTATTCTAAAATCAGTCGAACCATTGAAATTATTGTTACAAACCAGAGAGTAATTTGCGTTTTGATAGCCTAAAGTTTACATCTTCTTTTTCGAGCTTCGATATCCCAATGTTTTTAATTTGCACTTTGATAGCTTTTAAAGTTTACATCTTCTTTTTTGAACTTTGATAGCCTTTTGTGGGACACTTTAATATCCAAAGCTTACGACTTTTTATAACTTTGATACTCCAAAAGTCCAAGAAGGTATAAACTTCAGGGCATCAAACTGCCAATAAAAAAACCCGCTGGGTACCAAAGTTATAAAGGACGTAAACTTCAGGGTATGAAACTGCAAATACCCTGTAAGCCACCCGTTCTGATTTCTATTTCGACTGAAGCAATTCACCGAACGCTTGGTCTGCTTCAGGCATGGGAGGATCACTTCAACGAGCGCATCAACAGATTCCGCGCCGGCGAGTACAAGTGGCTGTCGAAATTCCTCTACGCGTTCTCCTTCAACATGACGGCCCTCTCGTCGTCGAGCTCCGTGATCGCCGCCCTCTGCTTCGGCGTCTCCGGTCGCCGTGCGGCTCCCCCTCCCCCGCCTCCACGTCTTATACCGCACACTCCTTCTTCCGCCTGCCGTCGCGACCCTTTGCGCACCGTTCCCCCAGGCCCCGTGATCTCGTCTCCCAGGCCTCTGAATCTCTCTAGAGAGGGCTCGACTCCGTAGCTTCATCAACCAAGCCGGAGGAGCTTCGGACGAAAGGGCGCCGGTCGAGAAGGGACGAGGGTTGGCGGGACGGGTGGCGATCGAGGTGAGGGGGGGAGACTTCGGTGGGGGGAGGTGGGCGCGGCGCTGCGGGGGATCGAGCTGAGGTGAGGAGGCGGGGAGCTGGCGGCCGGGTGTGGGGAGTGGGGGCGGGGAAGAAGCTCGCTGGACTCCTTGCTTGCTTGGGGAGATGAGGAAGATCTCTGGGAAGGTGAATTTTTTATTTATTTATTTTATTTATTCGGCTAAATAGCAGTTAATAAGCGTCTTTTTATAGTTTCACTTGTTTTTTTTTTGCAGCATTTATATAACATAAGTTGTTTAAATTTGGTACTTTTGTACCCTCTATTGTGCATCTATTGTGCAGAGGTGAAAATTCCCCCCTGAATATTTTCCAAATGACACTTAGAATCAGGTAGCTGGTGAGCGTCTGTTGGAACATTCAGGTGAAATTATCACGTTTGCATAGGAGAGGGTAAATTTTCAGGTTTGCATAATAGAGGGTACTAATTTGCCAACTATAAACAACTTGGGGTATATAAATGCCATAAAAAATAAGTGAGGATATATAAGTGCAAAGTGAGTTAAAGTATTGAAGTATGTAACTGCTTGTTATTATTATTATTGTTGAATTGTCGTGTGTTTTTGTTGAGGTGCTATTAGGCATTTGCATTTGTACGCCCTCTATGAACATAAAGTTAATATTTGATAATAGGGTTTTAAGTTTGATTTTGGCGGATAATACTCCCGGAACTGAACAACATTAGAGATTGGTGGCGGATAGACCCGTGTACTAGCACGATCTGCCCCTCCCTTCCTCACCATCTGATCAAACAGCGCCCTGACGAAGAGAGGAGGGTGATGGCTGCATTTAATTCAGTTTGGTGGTCCACCTGCCAATATCGAACTTAAAACAGTAGGTAGTAACTCCACAATCACTCTTGTGATTAGGGTTGAATCAAATGGAATTGATGCAAATGGTGAGATATTCAGGTTCATATCAATTGAGTTAGCTTTGTTTTTGTTCCAATTTGATTCACTTACCTATTCAAAATTTTAATAGAAAATGATGTGCGAATGAAATTGTTATATTTACATCATATTCGAAGTCAATTTGATGAATACTAATGCAAATAATAATTTAGCATTCCCTTTGATTTGGAAGCTTTTTTTAATTAATTATTTAGTTTCTTCAATGATATACCGATGAACTAAACTTGTGATATCAAGAATGCATTTATTTAACTGCATGGTTTATTTTACTTAGCAATGTATTTGGTTTTCCTTTTATCAGGTTAGAGTATGTGGGACGACAGCATATGTGGCACAAACAGCATGGATTCAGAGCGGAACCATTCAAGAGAACATCTTGTTTGGGGAGCCCATGGACCATGAGAGATATAAGGAGGTTATTAGGGTTTGTTGCTTAGAAAAGGATCTGGAAATGATGGAATTTGGGGATCAGACCGAGATTGGGGAGAGGGGAATCAACCTTAGCGGAGGTCAGAAGCAACGTATACAGCTTGCCAGGGCTGTGTATCAGGATTGTGATATCTACCTCCTCGATGACATCTTTAGTGCTGTTGATGCTCACACTGGGTCAGAACTCTTCAAGGTGTGTTCTGTATCTTATGGAAGACTCATGGTGAAACTTGAGTAACACATAAGTTAAAGCTAATCCTAGAGGAGATAATGATCAATTACTCATAACAATATTGGAGTCTTTTAAAGAAAAGCAAAAGTATCGCCATAAGTATTATTAATATTAACGTACATAGCTAATTGATAAACTACCACAATGGCATAAAGAGAGAACACCTTCATTTTCATTATGATTATAAGAACATGAATCTTGTAGAGAAAATAGAGAAGGCAAAGTTCATTATTCATCTAACGCTAACCTCTTTTAAATAGAGATTGGGAGAATATTACAAAATAGATACGGGATAAAATCATATCTAATCAAATCTCACACATTATCTTATCTGCTAGATCTAAATACTAAGAATATCTAACAGTCTCCCTCAATCTGGAGCATATATTTTATGTACGTCCAGCTTGTCACAAATGGAAACAAAACAACTAGTTGCAAGAGCTTTGTAATGTCATCTTTGTTCGGAATATTTGAAGATGTCAATAATAGAAAATTGTAGTTACAGCCAGTAAAAACCATAGCTTAGGCGGGTCAGCCAGTAAAAACCCTAGACAAGTCAACCAGTAAAGAGAAACCCTAGGCAGGTTAGCCATTGGAAATAAATCCTAGGTAGCTGGTAAAACCCTAGGTGGTTCAGCTACTAAAAACCCTAGTCAGGGCAGCCAATAGAGAGAAATTCTAGGCGGATTAGCCAGTAGAAATAAACCTATGTGGGTCAGCTAGTAAAACCCTCGGCGGGTCAGCTAGTAGAGGAAAACCCTAGGCCGGATCAGCCAGTAGAGAGAAATCCTAGATGGGTCAGCCAGTAGAAATAATCCCTAAGGGGTCAGTCACTAAAACACTAGGTGGGTGTAGAAATAAACCCTAGGCAAGTTAGCTACTAAAACCCTAGGCGGGTCAGCCAGTAGAGAGAAACCTTAGGCGAGTTAGCCAGTAGAAAGAAATCCTAAGCGAGTCAGCCATTAGAAATGACATCGGAATCAACTACATACTTTTGCATCTAATCATCAGATGAGCATGGAGAGTGTTCACCATAAATAGCCCATGCTGGTAATTGTTCATTGATGAACAGTATCGTGATGAGCAGTGCTGCTTTGCCCTTTTCAGGTTAGGGTTTCCCAAGGTAAGTTTTTTTTTTATTAAGGTTCAACAAAGATTTAGTAAATAAATGATGTAGAAATCATAGATATTATCAAAGCCGCCGAATGTGTTGTAGTTGCCGAGGGGGACCATGGAGGCAGTAAAACCCATCGGCGACCCCGAGGTCGAGAAAAAAAATTGATCTTTCTAGGATCGATGTAGAGAAATAAAGAAGGCAAAGTTCATTATTCATCTAATCCTAACCTCTCTTAAATAATCTGAGATTAAGAGGATATTACAAAATAGATACGAGATAAAATCATATCTAATCAAATCTCATAATATCTCTTGATTATTTATAATATATGCTACATCTAAATACTACTAATATTTAACAAATTTGTTACAAAAAGATATAGGATTGTCTTGTCACAAATTTTTTGAACCGTATGCATCAATGTGCATATGATTGAAAAGGGATACCACCTTGTCCTCATCAACCATCTTTATCAAGAAAAAAATATTTTTTAGCCAAGAAGTTAATAGAAGAATCTTAAATCAACTTGTTTGTGTCATTGTATGTCTTTAACTGTGGAAAAATTATACGAGAGACAGGAATACCATTTGTGATCAGTATGCATGAGGGCCAACTATAAATGGAAAATACGGTTTCCTCTTTTTTTCTGAGTTTTCTTTCAAACTTTAGAGAATTGCAATTTGAGGTTTTGAATGCGACAGAGGTGATGGGCTTGATTATAGAAACAAGGTGATGTGAGAGTGATTGCACTTATCTAACACTTGGAGGAGGATAAAAGTATAAGTAAAAAAAAGTCGAAATGCCAAACATGATTAACTTTCTTAGTCTCATAGTACCTTAGGCATTTTAATTGAGGAAATGTGATATGTATCACATGATTTCTTAAATTGATGTTATCTACAAACATCAAAAATCTAAGATACTTAGTTAATTGATCAGTTCGAAAATTAAGGGAGTTTATTGGTTCTAGTTTCTTTTACCATTTTGTTTCTTTTGCTTTAGGATCGTCTTTTTTTCACTTTTTTATTGTTTGCTTTCCTTTGTGGTTGAAGTTGAGGGTGGAGAAGGTGAGGTAAGATTACTGATATTACTTCTGCTGTCAGAGTCAGAAACAAACTCTTCCGGTATGTGTGGATGATGCATGACCTGATTGTGTGATAGAATTAAGAATCCGTGAAACAAGAGAGAGGGAGGGAAGATTAATCGTTATAACTCAAGGATTGTGAGATTTAATGCTCATTATTTGTTTTTCCATTGTATTTTTTTCATAAATAAACATCATTTGATATTTATACATCTTCCATGGAAACTGTAAATTTTACTTTAACTACCAGAATAGTTTAATCCTAAGCTACCAACAACGGACAGGTTCACATTCTTTTGGTAGCCACCTAACACATGCTTATTTAGTTTCTGAAGTTGTATTGAAGTCATGATTCCTTGCTGTAGGAATGTGTGAGAGGAGCGCTCAAAGCAAAGACTATTATACTTGTCACTCATCAAGTCGACTTCTTGCATAATGCTGATCTCATCTTGGTATGTGCTACATTTCTATTTCTTATGGATTCTTTTATGCTTCCAGACACTTTATTTTCCTATTAAAAATAAATAACATAAAGGAAAAGTCTTGTTATTCATGTGTTTTCTTCGTGCAACTCTTGATATTGAGAGGATAATGCATTTGGTACTTGCTCAAAATATAGAAAGAAGGGTCAATGTTCCATCTTGTGCTAATAATGTACGTTTCAGAAAGAAGGGTGTGGAAGCAATTGAAAGAAGAGTTAATGTTCCACATTTGTCTTTCGGTGTCGGAGTAGGGTTTTTTCCCCTTCCTCTCCTCACATTTCTTACCCATTTTGCTGCTAATATAGCTTTGCCCCTTAATTACTTGGTAGATCCTTCCAGTTTCAGATGACTCTTTTTTATATGACCTTTGATGACATTTGATCCAACATTGCATGTGTAATTAACAGGTAATGCGAGATGGGGAAATTGTACAGTCGGGAAAGTACAACGAGTTACTAGCTCCAGGATCAGATTTTGAGGCTCTTGTTGCTGCTCATGATAGTTCAATGGAGCTTGTAGCTCATGATGGCACTGAGCAGCCAGCAAATCCTACAGATAAACCCATCATAAAACGTGAGCTATCTACTAAAGAAAATGGTGCAGAAGTCTCACCAAAATCTGAAAAGCACACATCCAAACTCATTGAGGATGAGGAACGAGAAACTGGTCTAGTTGGATGGAACGTGTACAAGTTATACATGACAGAGGCTTGGGGATGGTGGGGTGTGATTGCTATTGTTATTGTTTCTCTGCTTTCACAGGGTCTTTCAATGGCGAGTGACTATTGGTTGGCGTACGAAACGTCAGATGAAAATGTCTCATCTTTCAGTCCGAACATATTTATAGAAGTCTATTCCGCACTAGCATTAGTTGCAATTATCTTCATCGCTGTCAGAACCTATCTTGTGACATATCTGGGACTTGTGACTGCTCAAATCTTCTTCAAGCAAATCCTTAACAGTATATTACATGCTCCCATGGCCTTTTTTGATACTACACCTTCTGGAAGAATACTAAGTCGGGTGAGATTAGTTATCCTCGAATTGTTTTATTGATTTTTCTACCATTGATTATGATATTGTTATGATAACGTCAGAGTACATACTCATCATGGGTTTCGTTAAGTTGTTTTAATGCACAAAAATAGGCCTTAAGTAGAAAGTGTAGAGAAAAAGTTTCTGTAAAGCATTACGTATGGGATCATAAGGCTTTTATGATACTGCACTTAGAAGTTAAATCCATACATCATATTACATTTATTTTTTTCCTTTTTACTTTTGAGATTAACACTTGAATTGGAATCAACCATGGAATTAACCATCTTTCTTTGGATTAACCTGAGAATGTTTTGGGTGTTTTTCTCTTTCAGGCATCGTCTGATCAAACCAACATTGATCTCTTTCTTCCATTCTTCATGGGGCTAACTATTTCAAGCTACATGGTTGTCCTAGGAATTATCTTCATTACATGTCAGGTCGCATGGCCGACAATCATATTCGTTGTTCCATTGGGGTGGCTGAACATCTGGTACAGGGTATGTTCACTCTTTGTATGTTTGCAGTATATTATTTTCGAGCTATTGCATAAATTCTTGATGCATTCTTCCTCTATATATGTGTATACATGTCTATGCGTGTGTATGTATGTATGTATGTATACACACACATCATGCATTTATGTATGTATATAGGTGTGTGTGTATGCAAGTATTTATTCGAACTCAACGGTGGAACTAGTTCCAACACGCGCGCGCGCATAAACGCTAGACAAGTTATGTTTGTATGTATATATATGTTATGCGTTATTATATCTATACATGTAACATGTAGATATATACACACATACATATAGATGCACAAATGCCACAAATGCACACAAACAACCAATATATGGCTACAGTTTTATTGATATTTTGAAACATAGGCAGGGATATAGAGTCCTAGATTCAAATCCGTTGTAAATATGTTTAAAAGAACATACTTTATCACATTTTCTTTCCTCCATAAAATAGAATATCTTCCATGTCTGCATTCACTTGAAAGGGGAAAGGGGGACCCGGGGGAAGGGGAGAGAAGGGGGTGTATCATGGTTCATCTGCTTAAACATCTAGTCATGTGGTTGCCAACATAAAGCACACTACTTCCTATGACTCTCTCCCATTACCGAAAAATATCAGCTCCAGACAACCAATCATGATTATCTCATAAAGGAACATGGTATGCCCTTTAGTCTCTAGTAATGTGCCATGTGAGTACTATCTGGAATAGGGAGATGGAAACTAGAAACAGCAGTATTTTATTCAGAAATTGGTTCAAATTTTGAAAAGATTGGGTTCGGGCAGAGAAGGATTGTCAGATAGAGTTTCCCTTGCCTTCAGTGCAGAGCATTGGTTGGGTAATAGTTTTTGCTCTGCACATAGGCAGCGAAGACAATGCTCTAGACTCTGCAGAGGGGAACTCTCACGCCTTGAAACAACTACGAAACATATATACGGGATATGCGACAGCAGTGACCCGTGCACAAAACAAGTCTCACGCACGTGTCAAGCCTTGCACATAGTTTTTCACAAATTATAATATC